CTCCTCCTGCCCCATCTTCTAGTAAATTGATCAATAATGTAGGAAAAATACTTTGACTTGGACCTAGGCAAGCAAACCTGGATCCTGGAAATTCACAGCTAAGTCACTAAAACTTGTATTTGTTTTTTAATTGTGGTGTTAAGTATCTGTATAAACCCATCAGATTAGAAACTGCCCTTTTTTTCCTAAACTTAGTTACTCCTGTTACTTTGCAACTTTTGGCTTGTTTTTTAAGTAATAAACTGTCCCATTTTCAACTGACCTTTCCTATAATTTCTTTCAAAACATTATTTTTTTTCCCTTCCCTAAATCAGTGTTTTCTCGCTCTTCATCCCTTCTTGTTGAACCTTTCAGAATTGCGCTTGAAACACAGTGGTGATTAATACGCCTCCATACTCCAGGATTAGTTTTAGTCATCCATCATTGTTTTGTGCTAGTGATTGACAGAGAAACATGAGTTATTTTGTATACCTTGAACAACATTTGTCTTTTGAAAAGCAGCAAACAGTTTTTGGTTTTTTTCCCCTTTGAGTTGGAGTGCAGCTCTCTCTCATCTTCTCCTCATCCTTTAAGTGCTATCAGATTGTTTCATTTTTAGGCTCCCTTCACTTTCCATCATTTTCCTCCTAATCCATTGCAATGCTTCCCCCATAGGCCCTGAATTTTATGCGTACTGTGTCCCTCTGTCACTGTTTTGATTCAGATCTGGAATGCACTTTTGAAATAAGTATCCTGGATCACCCCCACATACCGTAATTTGAGGGGTTTCATGGAGTGATCTGGGAATTCACAACTATCTTTTGTGTGACATTAAACCAGACATACATGTCCACACTATGGCAAGGGTGCTCCACTGGTTCATGGGCATCCCATCCAGGACTAGAATAGAACCAGTCCAAAGTTAAAGAACATTATTCTTGAGTAGCACAAGCAAGGAGTTTTCTAGTTGATTCCATACTCTGAGCAATTCTCATTTTTGGATGAGAAGTGTGTTCCTTCTTGAGACGTTACTGCAAGGAAGGCCTTTACATTTAGGCACCTGTTCTGGCAGGTATCTTGTTGTTAAGGCCAACAGGTATGTACTGATTTAGGTCTTCTTATCTGCTTTTATTCTATCTTTGATTTGGTCAATTGCTGCTAAGTTTATTATATGAAATACTGCTTCTATTGATGGTTTGTTTGTTTTTTTTAACGTATCTCTCTTAAAGAGTCATCTAATGTTACTCAAATTCCCCATTGTTTAGGAAACTGGGTATAATTTTTCCAGTAGAGTCCTTCCAGTGACCTAATACAGCTGAAAATACTTGCCTTTTTCCACTGCTGGATAATTACTTCTCTTGAAAGGTTCAAAGCTCATTTATGTTGCTCAACTGGTCTGAAGTCTCCATTGTTTTGGCATCCCTTTGCTCACTCTAATGTCCAATTTAATATGCTTTCTAAAATGTCATCTGTCTTGGGGCTGTAATGAACTGTATATGAGTAAAACCTGTCCCCAACCTGTCAGTTACTGGCTTTCTGGACCTCTTTGGAAATATCTTTTAATCAAGCTGGAAATGTAACTTTTACTGCAGCATCCTTCTATCAGCAGAATTGGAACATGTCACAACTAAGTGTTGTCAGGCAGGACAAATTTTCCCCTTGTTTTTTTCCTTATGGTCTGTCATTTGTGGGCATTGAAAATTGAAAGATTTTTATCTGCATGTTATTATCTTGAATAAGCCCTGGTTGGTAGTAACTAGCATATTTATCATAGGTTTGTTAGTAGACCATATGAAATGTGTATGGCTCTTGGCAGAATTGGATAGTTGGCAAATATTTGTATCATGTGCCTTTCTAACTGGTGGCAATTGATTATTTTGGCCGACATTTGGAGGACTGAAATGGCAAGGAGAACGAATAATCTCTTATTTCTTAGGGTGTGGAATAGTGGTGGGTTTATGCAGGAAAACTCTACTTATGTTGTCCATAGTATATCCGTTATCTGCCTAATGGTGAGGTCTTAGACAAAAGCTGATCTTCTTAGGAACTGTATATGGGTATTTAAACTTTATGGATGTGAACGATCTGAAAAACTTAGTAATAAAGATCATCCTAGTCTACTGAATTGTTAAACCTATCAAGGTGGTAGTCATCAGTAGAGAATGGAGCACTATTTTTGGGTACAAATCAAAACCAAAAAAAGTCAATCTTGTTTCTTCAAATTCTTCTTATTCCAAGCTTATGAAAATGTAAAACTTGTAAATGCAAACCTGAGTAGTAAAAAATTGAGGTTCACTATGCAGCATCTGAGAGTATACGTTCTTGTACCTTCTCAGGCTCCTGGATATGGCGATGTAAGGCTTTCTTTGGAGACCATACCAGACACAGTGAATTTGGAAGAACCTTTTGACATTACATGTAAAATAACAAATTGCAGGTAATGATGTCACGTGATTCTTGTGCTTTTTCCTGAGTGGGTTAGTTGCAGCTATCTTTGCTTCATTTTTCAATGCTTTCTCCTGAAATAATGCAAACCTGGTCTTTACTGTGAGTAAAGAAACTACTTGAAACTCATCTTTTGGAACAGCATTTTTAAAAATATCAAAGAAACGAAAAAACTTCCATTGTGATCTGCTAATACTATTTGAACTAGGGAGACTGCCAAAAATCTGTAGTGGAATTCCATGGAACTGGCTACAGTACCATTTAAGATTGCACCCCATACTTAAATCACAAATCACCTTTGTTCTTCTTAATCTAGCAACAAAATGAGTGCATATGTAGGATTTTCTTTAACTACAAGTAATATCATCAGAATAAACAATGCCATTTGTATCCAGTCTGATTTTACTACTGGTTCTGCATCACTGCTAGGGTACCTGCTAAACATTGTCACTGTAATCTTTTGTACATCTTTACCCATGCTTTGATTTGATTTGTGTTTACAATAAGATCTATGGTAGCCCTTTACCCAAAGGGTTGCAAGAGTGATGTTTAAATAAAGTAATTCTAAATAGAAGTTGAAGCCAGGGATAAAGTCTGCAGATACTTCTTGTGAAAATCTTGTGCTGCATCCAAAATGTGGGCAGCATTATACTATCCAGTATTGCTAAACCCATGACAGGATGCTCGTGTTGGACAAAGCTATATGCAACTGAATTACTGCACTTCACAGTGAGTCTTGCTTGCTGCCTTATAACTATTTATAAATGCTTGCTTAATAGTAAGCTGAATAATGAAGTAATCAAACTTTTACACGTCTGCAGCCCTTGAATGTTAAAAAGAAAGCCCACAGGTTTATTCTTTTTTTTTTTTCAATTTCCTCTAGCAGTGAAAGGACTATGGATCTGGTCTTAGAAATGTGCAATACTAATTCCATCCACTGGTGTGGAGTTTCAGGAAGGCAACTTGGAAAGCTGCACCCAAGTTCGTCCCTCCATCTTGCACTGACGTTGTTGTCTTCAGTGCAGGGATTGCAAGTAAGTCTTCATAGCACAGTTTTGATAATAAACAACTGTTTTATAAGCTTAGTAATTCTTCCTAATAACAACTTTTATAAATATTTTCTCTTTCTAGAGTGTCTCTGGCTTAAGACTTACAGACACATTTTTGAAGAGAACATATGAGTATGATGATATTGCACAGGTCTGTGTAGTTACTTCAGAAGTCAAACAGAGCTGAAGAAAAAATTCTGCATTTCTACTGGGCTTTTTTTGGTTTTTTTGGACCAACTTCTTGATGTTTTTGCAGCTGAATCATATTAAAATGTGTACAAACAAAACCAACCCCCCCCAGTATCTGTAAATGTAACTGTGTTATTTAATTTTTCTGATCATTTTTGAATGTTTAAAAATCTTTAAAACGTGTGCATATGCATTTTATCTCCTGAAAATAAAGCTTTTGAAAAGTGTAGCTCTAGCAAATTACATTGCATTAACAGCACCTTGGGGCAGGGGGGTGAGGCTGATGTGAAACAGTGGCACTTTGTACTTATTTTTGTGACTTAATTATTTTTTTTAAATATTTAAACAGTTTTAAAATTTTCTTTTCTGACAGAACTGCTTCAGTTTGAAGGAACTGGCCTCTTACAGACAAGTTCCTGGAATCCAAACCCCTAAAAGAAACGCTTTGGTGTAGCTGGCCTGGCAGTGCATTTGCTTGGTAGGTGGCACAGCCACTAGAACTAGAGGCTGAGGGAGGCAGCTGGCACTGCTGAGGTGCCAGCAGCTATAGAAAGCAGAGTCTCAGCCAAAGAATATGCTGGTTTTGTCTTGGTCTTTGGAAAGGAGTAATACCCCAGATCTGTCCCAGTTTTGTGGAGAGCTGTGCCTCCCTGCAACACAGGGGGAATACTGTGAACAGCCATGTTACTTCCCAATTAGCAGGGAACCGAAAAATAAAATAGCAGAACTCAGGCATTTTTTAAACTGAGGCAGTGCAAATACTCTTCCCATCCAAGAAGCATTTAAATAGTTTTTATAGGAAAATGAGGGAGAAAAACCCTGAATGGCTGCCCTAGATCGGGTTCTCCAAAGCATATGCAGGAAGGAATTCAGGACTTGGTAGAGCACTGAAATGTACTATTCCCTTGCTTTGTTCTGCCAAAGGATGTAAATATTTTTGGCTGATGTATCTAAGGTCACCCAAAGGTAGCCTTTTAATACAGAAAATGGTGACTCGCTTTCCTGGTTTAACTAGTGTTAGAGATTCTACTCAATGGCTTGTCATATTTTTTTCTACTATATTGGCACTTAGCAACTTTACTTAGTTTGACAGTATTTTACTTAAGGTTTTCCTGTGTATAAAATCTTTAAGTGTAGAATTCAATTTAAAAATATTAGATAAATTCAGTAGCTGCTTAGTAATTTGAGGGAATGAATCCATAGAGGAAGAAAATATTAAAACTATATCCTGCACATCTAATAAAATGCTGATTAACCAATATAAACATGTAATTAAAAAAATTGAATTTATCTGTTACTCTAGACACATTCACAAACGAAAACAGTAAGACCACACTATCCAGACAAAAAATGTAAATAACTTTATTTGTAATCTATTTTCAAGTTAAACTGACACAAGTTGGAGGAGATGTAACCATATGGTAATAAGAGGTAGGAGACACAGACATGGTAGACAGGTTGCATTTTGCCAGTATGACTTTCTGTAGCCCTGAAACAGCAGGAATCCAAAGCTGCAGACTTGGTTCTTTCTCAGTATGAAGCGTGATTTTACTGTGTACTTGTTGCAAAACCAAAAGTGAAACTGAAACAACGCCTAAGCAGAACACTTCATTAAGTGTCTTTATGATCAGGCATAGTTAGAAGAATATAATTCCATGCAAGCATGTTACAGGAGTTTACAATTCAAGTGCAAAACATTTTCTTCTCTAACAATTACCATGCTTATATGCTGATGGAACTGTAATGATACAAAACCAATTAGGTGTTCAATGCACATTTACTCCGTTGAATGATAAACTGCAGTTGATTTCAAATTAAAGCCGTATTTGTGGGGATTGTGGTTTACTACTTGGATCTAGCAGGATGAAAAATTTTAGTGCAAAAAAAAAAAAAAAGTGCAGTTATCACACAGGAAAAGATTCCTTCCTCACCCTGCAATTAAGATATATTGCAGGGCTCAGTGAAACAATCCAGCCTATTCAAGGCAAAATAGACTTCAGCAAAAATGATCCCTCTGTTCCTGGTTTCAATGGAAAAGCATGTAATGACAGCTCCTGTTATTGGTTTCTCTGTTTTTTATTCAGGCTATAAAGCCCTTTCTGTTAATATACAAGAAACAAAGAATGTTTACAAATATTGTGCCAGTTGTAGCACATTCCTAAAGGGTTAGCTAATACCATCAACGTTTTAATAAATACTCTGGTTACATATTATCTGTACTAGAGTAAAACCTAAACATGGCAATATTGTAGTATGTGAAATGGAAGTTACCACTCTATATTAAAGACGATTTCAAGAGCAGTTTTCACATAACTAACAAATGCTTCATTCCATTTAACCATGGGGATAGATCTCCTGTACATCTGGTAAGCCACAGGGCTTGGACAGTACAGCTTCCACAGGCACTCTTTGAATATTACTGCATTTTGTAGTTCTTATGGAACTCTCAAGATGTTCTTGATGCTCATTCTTGTCTTAAAGTAGAAAGGTAACTGACAGCATGAAGATAGCTGTCACAACATAAGGATAAACTGAGTGAGAGATACTGCAGTGCTGTCTGGTCCACTCTGGTTTTATTGGTTTCCCTTATCAAAGTTAGTAAAAACTGAAAATATGAAAGAGAACTAAGAGGAATTGTGAAGCTTAAAGGAGATAAGCTAGGAGCAGTGCTTCTCTTCTGACACAACACACTACTCCAGGCAATGTTTGTAGCCCACCTACAGCCTCCATTGATCTTGCTTGTAACTAGTATCCTCCTGTTAAATATAACTGAACTTAAGTAGCAGTTTTCTGGAATGGATTAGATTCAGGATCTGAACTATCACTGAAAAAAGTAAGGGATTTTCTTGTCAGCAGATGTTACATCAGAAGCTGTTCCTTGGAAATGTTTTTAATGTAAAGCTTAAGTACATCTACAGCCTCAAAAAGGCAGCTACAGCAACTTACAGTGAAAATTTTAAAAAAATATTGTAATGCTGCTTATAGGCAGGCTCTACTGAATAAAGTGTGAAATGTCTTAAAGTTGTTTAAGTTGCTCTATTAAGCTTTACCCCTTTATTAATCAGACAGTAATACGGACTTCCTGGGTTTGCATTTCCAGTAATTTTTTCCTTTCTCCTTGGATCCAGCTGCATTTTTCCCTGTTTTAGCAGGGGAAGACTCATATAATAGATACACAACTAGCACTTTTGTTACAGTCAAGCACATGACTTGGCCCCAAGTTTTGCATTTGCTCTTGATGATGCTCTTTTTTGACCACAAGATGAATAAGATACAATGCCTGAGGTCTAGGGGTTCCTGTGTATTTCTCCATCTAGGAGCCTGTTGTTATTCCTCCACCTACCTTCTCCAATCTAACTGCCCAGCAGAGATCACCTTCTCTTAGGAATCAAAGAAGGCTCCTCAAATTAGTTTTGATAAAAAAAGAGGGAAGTATGAGTGATAAGAACCTCCATGGAGTAAAAACAAATGTAACAGAAAGCAGTGTGAACAGTAAGCAGAATAATAATAAAAAAACATAATAAAAATACAGAAAAGCAGTGCTCTCTGAAAGAGTAAGAATAACTGAGCAAGAAAAGCCAGGGTAGGAACAGAAATACTATAGAGTAGGAAAATATTTAACTTGGCCATATAACCATCATTTAAGATAGATAAGTGTAATGAAACTTAAAAAAAAATCCTTAATTAAGCTGGTGATTTACCACACAAGAATAGGAAGAGAATTCTTCTTTCTAAGGCAGTTATTTTTTAATAAATTTTCAGTACTAGTTATTTGTACAGTCACAGGTTCAGTTTTAGCTTATTACAGTTAAGAATTTTAAGCTTATGTTAAATACTGCATATACACGGAATGTAATACAGTTTGCCATGCCTAGGAAAATAGTGCCATAATGCTGACCTCCAGGGCTACCATCACGATTTGGGGTATACATGGCAGTAGAAAAGCCTAAAAATTCTTAATATTCTTTCCAAGCCAAGCTTCATTTTGGTTTCTGTGCATTATCCCACTCGGGATTAGTGTCTTTCCTTTCTCTACAACTTGTAGTGCTCCTTCATACGCAATCATCTCCCTCCCTCCTGCCCAATGAAGTTGAAAAATAGTTCATGTTTCTAACAACGGCCCCTCCACAGGCTTAAAGAACCAGACTTTTCAAGCATTAGTTTTAAGTGCATTATATACGCCCAACATTGATTTATGCTCATTATAAAAGGGCACATCAGAGGGGCCTATCCTTTCACTACTGACAGGGAGTATAGCCGCAATGATTTTCACCATAAGAGTAATCTGCCTTTCACACCAGGATTTTAGAATTAAGCTGTTACGCAAGATCAGCCCACTATAAAACTCCTCCCCACTCAATAGCCCTGGAGATCAATCTAATGCACATACTGAAAATGACTTTTACATAGGGATTTTAATAAACCACCTATTTAGTGTATTAATTTTTAGAGGAGTAACTATACATAAATGATATGTTCCAAGTTATGTGCAATAGATCTGTTTAACAGATTTATTCTTGTTTGCAAACACACACAAAGAATTTTCTGTCTTCTATTCAAGCAGAAGAGTTACAATGGTGCTTTTGCTACTAACTATGGTATGCATTTTGGGGTTATGTACCATTCCAGTTCACGTGCCTCCTTTGAGTCAGGAATGCTCCTCAGTGCTGCCACTGAAAGATCTGCTCCGGACGTGATTTCTCAGTTGCTCTATGAGCTCTGGATTCTGCTGCTGTATCTGTTGTGCAAACTGCTGCCCCCTGTGTTGAACAATTTTAAGTAAAATCAACAGGTGAAAAAAAAAACTGACAAGCGGCATTTGTAAGAAAACAGAATACGGCTGAAGTTAAGACTAAAGATAACTTGCTGTATAGTCTCAATAAAGATATTTGTAGTATTACAACTTCGTCTAGTTAAAGTCTCTCCAAACAGGGATATCATCAGATCTTCATTTTCATTCTTTAGGACTATTACTTCTACTGGATAACATGGAGGAAAAAGTATTACCTTGGTTGGTAAAACTAAAATTTAGCAACAAGTGTGCTCTACGATTTGCTCCCTTCTGCTTTTAGAGGATCCGTTCTTGTTTTTTTAAGACAACTACTCTTGTAGCCAAAGTGCAACCTTGTATTAGCCTTCCCAGAAATACAGTGTGCAGCTGCCAGCTTGTGCTTGTGAGCAAGATGTCATTAGTAGAAAGGAAGCATACAGTTACACCTTTATGTCTTGTATGACTGACGTAATGACAGATCCATCTCCATCACACTTGTAACTTAACAGTTACATTAATAGGTGAGAATAATTCCATGTAAAAGAAAAGCGTAATGCTGGTTTACTACAAAAAGTAAGTAAAACCTACGACTTCATGAATAGCCTGGCATGGCTTCTCTGTAACGTCTGCATTTTGCCCGAGTAGCAAATTAGCAAGACTCCTTTAAACCACAGTGCAAGTTGAAGAAAAGCCACTATTTCCATAGATCTAGGTGTAGTACATGCTGTTTGTGAGAACAGCCCTTGATTTTGTGGGAACACCTTCCTGTCTGTGATGTGAATTATAAATCACTTTTGCCTAGAAGGTGCAAAACTTTCAATAGTTTGAAACAGGCTAGACTGCTGAAATAAAGTAAAACTGTATGCCCTTTAGGATGTCTGGCCATATAAGCAAATGGCATGTTTTTGCACAGACTCTTCTAGATGGATTATCATTATTATATTGTAAAAGGTTTGGGTCCCATTTTTTGTAAAAGCTACTCCACGTTAAAATGAGTTCTCCGAAGCCTTCCCAGTGTAAATAGAGGGATGACAGAGTGGAGCTTTGTTGCAATCTGTGCAAAGTCAATCTGTAGCTTCTCTAACAAGTGTTTGGGATACGGGGTAGTAAATTTACCAACACAATTTGAAAGCACACGTAGGAGTACTTAAAGATTTATAGGAGCAGTTTCAGCAAGTGGCATTTAGAAAGCAGAGAGTGTATGACAACCAGAAAATGAAACCGAGTACATAGTTAGTCATTCCAACTGATGGAAACATTCAAAGCAAACAAACGAGATAGTGGAAAATAAGTCAGTCTTCAAGTTTTCAGTTTTAATTATCAGGTAGGATTTTAATAATCAGGAATAATGGGGACAGCCCACGGTGTAAGTGGCTTGACGCTATCCCTTTTAAGTAGATGTTGCACAAGGGCACTTCTACAAATGTAACAGTTAAAACTATACAATTCTTACTTACGCATGGATCAGGCTGGACAAATCCGAGAGGCCACCCACCCCGGCAGCGGGGCCACCAATGGCGTTTGACATCATCCCCGACATCCTGGAACAGTGAGCACAGTGTTGGCATTGGGGTATGCAGGGACCTTTACAGTAAGCAATAAACTGCAGTTCTTTTTTTTTAATTGCTGGGAGGAAACAAGCTGGAAGACGAAGAAACTGCAGTAGTTTTAGTTGCAGTAAGCAAAAATCACATTTTCAGAAATACAGTATTAATCACTTTTTCTCTTACTAATTTGAACCCCTAAAAACATTTGCTGTAATAGTACTCAATTTTAATACTTACAGTTGTTGAACTTGAGGATTCTGCATTAAGCTTGCTGCCTAGAATAGACAATATATAGCTGAAATTATAAGATATTTACTACTTAGGTATCACTCAGGAAAATGTGAGAAAAAAACTCAAAACCCACATGCTGTAGTCTTATGGTTTTTTACAAAATTAAGCTAAGGTTATGTGCAGAGTACGGTCCCCAGCAAAAAGAATTGTTAAAGCAATGTATTTCAAGAATATGACAAGGAGAAAAATAGTGGTTACAGATTCAGACATGAAAAATATGACAAGACAACATTCTGATCCCAGCATCAGAAAAAAAAAAAAGAACTATAAAAGATGCTTATGACTTCCAAGGACAAAGGAGAAAAGTCTATATTTTGTTGATTCCCCGTCTGGATAAATTGGCTTTGCAACTACTATTACTACTGTGTATAAACTGTTAGGATTATGACCAAAAAATATTGCAGAATAAACCAGAGTGTGGACTTACTTGGTAGCATGGTTTTGTAGCAACATATATCTTTCATTGTAATTGCATATCTTCTTATTTTGTAGTAACCATGAGGTTATTTAAATTTCTCATTCATAAGACACTTCAAAAGTTATGCTGTATTTACCATAGTGTAAGGGTGTATATGGACAGATATTACAGAATAAACCAGGTGATATTTTAGTTAGTAACATACTTCATGCAGAAATCAGTGTCTGAATGAATACAAGACCGATAGGCACAATGCAGTATCTGCTTATTCACTCTCTTATTAAGGGTACTACAAAAAACAGATATATACAATATTCATTTTATTGATTAATATATCCCCATATATACTTCTCAAAAGTAAATCAGTTCTTTTCTAGTGTACAGTTGGATGTTAAAGGCCAAATTCAGATGCATTCTACAGGTAATAGAGGATTTATTACTTGTTTTATTTCTTCTATCAGTAACAAGTCTAATCTAGGTTAGGGGCCCAAAATGCAGGCTAGAAGTAACTTTCCCAAGGTCAGGCAGTGAGTCAATTTTTTCCTTAAAAACCAAACAAAAAAAACCTACATCACAGGAAAGTCATTCATTCATTCCTGGCTGAAAGCCCTGTGTTCTATCTACTTGATCAGGCATCTTCTGGAAATAATGCCAAAAATCCTTTCCCCGTAGTTACCTCTATATTGAAGCGTACGTCTTTGGCTCTGAACAGATACAGATTGTCTGAGTAAGTCATGTGGCCAATGAACTGGTACACGTTGTTCCAGTGCTATTTAATCACTAGTGTCATTGGAGAACTTGCTGACTGCTTCCTTGCCTACCATCTCTATTATTTGGACCTTCTATCAGACCAGATGTGTTCATCTCTCTTGCACGCACTGCATTTCCACACAGAAGCACTGGTTGAAATGTCCTGTCCTAATGAAGCTACCAAAAGGGCAATAAAGTTCTAACTGAGTTCTCAAAGGAAATAAATAGGTTTTGCATTTTTTTTCCAAATACCATCCTTCAAAATTAATTAATACCATTTGGCTAAGAAAGCCATGCATGGAGAAAAAAATACTGAGGAACAAAACCACAATTTGCCATTGTCCTGGAAATAAAGGAAGGCACCATATGTTATTTATATTAAATGTTTGCACATCTCATGAAGTTAAAGATGTCAGAGAAACTAAAAAAGTAAGAACAGAAAGGTCTCTTGGATAGCTCTTGCCAAGCAGTTACTTTAGTCTTGCGTAGACTACATCTGAATCAACTGCTATTCATTTAAGAGATCACTTCTTTGTTAAGTGGTATGTGGAGAACAGAGAAGAAATTTTCACCATGCTGTTGACAAGTGTTTTACTATCATGCCATTTATAAAAACAGCATAGCTAATCTGTGCACATTATTGTTCATAAGTACGACAGAATCAATTGGAAATAAGACTGGCATTATAGCAGAATTATGTTTCACTTCTTGGTTTGAGTGTAAAATGACTTAGAAAAGTTTAAATTCAGAATAATGAAACCCTTGTCATCATAATCATTAAAACTGCTTGTGTTATGAAACAAGAGTTGTTCTCTAAATATCAGTTTTAAAAACAGTATAATGTAAAGCTTGAAATATACTCACCATACTAATGAAGGCAGGATTGTTTATCAAGCTTGCCATGTCAAAACTCAGCCCAGTTCCGGTCTACAAACAAATTGCAATTGAAGACAAGTTTACCTACAAGTTCCCAGTTAAAGCTACTGTAAATAAATAGATACAGAGCTAACTTACAGGACTGGACATGTCTCTTAGTTTCTGTTCTGCTATTTTCAAATTTGACTTATAAGAGTCATTCTCTGGATCAAGATCCAGTGCTTTTTGGTAACTGGTAACTGCTTCTTCATATTTATTCACTGAGGTCAGAGCCAACCTAATGTGAAATAAAGAAATCCTGGGTAGAATATAATGACCATTAAAAGATAATGATACATTTTCTGTTCTAAGTAAAACAGTATCTCACAACTAATCTTTAGCTTGTGCACGAAGTTAAAGCAAGTTTTGCTATGGTGCTGCTTAGTGTAAACACTTCCTTTTGCACGAGATGATCCCTCAAGAACTCATCTTGCATTGTCTGTTCCATATATATGCAAGTTTCATTAAAAAGTCCTTGGCATCATCAAGTGATTTAGTCTGTATTCGAGAACACAAGCTGCATCCAGCATCCTTTTCACAAAAGATAAGGAATTCCTCTCTTTCCTCCAGTCCTTTTGATTCAAGAGATTATTCAGAAGGGTACATGGGTAAGTAGGGCGAAGATACTCTTAATGTGAGTTCTGCAGATTCAAGAAATCAAATACTGGAACAAGTTTTAGCAGAATAGATTTTTCTCTTAGGATCAGTGTAAGGTTCTCCTTTGGGATCTGCTACTTCAACAGCTTGACAAATGAGTTATACAAAATAGTAGTAAGATGTAAGATGTTGTGAGGAACACTTGGATCAGGAAAGTCTGCCTAATGTTAAGGTTCTTTCCCAACAGCTCAGGAGAGCACAGGACATATCTACTACTTTTGAAACAGCACTTGTTTTCAAATTTCATTAGCTACTACATTTAAAACATCATCCATCTTTGAGTTATTCCAGAAGTCCATCTGGCTGCATTTTCAATTCTATCTTCTACTGTACTTTCAAGTTATACTGACCACAAAACTAAACTGATCTTTTCCACATTTTGTGAAAGATCTGTGTAACTCATATTCAGCTATTTAGTATTCATATCCCCCTTGGGCATGTGCTGAGCTGCACAGACGGGGTTGATAAGCCTGTGCTCCTCCTCACCAACAGACTTTATCCTTCTATCTCGGGCAAGAGTGCTCGGTGTGTTATTACTATTCAGTGATGACAAACTCAGTATGAAACTACAGGATTTTCCAGTAATGATCCTGGAGGAACCCACACAATTTTAGTATTTTTTCTCTTAACACAGTTACATAAAAAAAACCCAAACCAGCATTTTCACTTTTGGCCCATAAACTTGCCAAAATAATTTCTGTCCAGACAAGAAATGCAATCCAGTATTTCTATGATGCAATTGTGCTTTTTTTACAGAGAAAGTATGTAAAATTCAGTACAAGTCAGAACAGTGGGTGACAGTTTCTTTGCTCACAATTTCTACTCAGACAAGTGCTCTCTCTCTCAAGGTCACACTGGAAGTATCACTTTAACTGATTGCATGGTTCCCACCTCTGCATATTTCTATGGCACTTCTGCATCTTTCTGTGACATATAAAGAGCTTCTGTCAAACCCTGTCAAACTGAGAAAAACTGATAAGCCTGCATAATGCAGTCAGAAAACACAGCTTTCTGACAAGAAATTTTTTGTTGAGAAGTTGGTTTCTGCACTTGTTGGTTTGTTATTACTAAACAAGCATGACTTCCTCATTAAGCCTGCGCTAAATGTATTATTATATTCGCGTGCTGAGTTAGGCAATGGCTTGTGGCTCAAAGTGTATCTTCTACCGAAACAACCAGACAATCAAAAAAAAGAGAAGCTTGATTACTTGCCCACTTACATTGTGTGTCAAAAGGCACACTGGTCTCACAGCCAAAACTCTAAAATAACCTCCGATTCCCAATTAAATCAGCCTGTAGCTTCCCTCCATCTCACTGAAATCAGGGGATCTCAGGTTGTGCTATATGAAGAAACAATCTTAAGAGAGTTAAATAGGACAAAACCAATTCAGTCCCTAAACTTCACAAGTGAAGAATTATCTCAAAAGCCAGCCAGTCTACATTTGCATTAGTAAAATAAACTGTATAGTGGAAAGTTTTCAAGTGAATTCCATCATCTTTGATCTTAAATGCTCTCTGACATGGTTTTGTCCCAGGCCAACAAGCATTATCCCAGACAATTTTAGGGCATGGTTCAGAATTTAACACAGGACAATGCAATTTAGCAATAGGCATTGTATGTGGCCACTCCATACTGCAAACTAGAATTTAATAACATAGACACAGGCCATTTTGTGCCAGCTGACCCAACAAACAATCCCAAGCATTTTTTAATTTACCAGTATAGATATAACCTCAAGAGCCTTATGCAACATTCACCCCACACCCACAATATATTTGATTATTGAAAACGCAAAGCTACACATCTTGGAAGAATGGCCATTCACTCAAGTAGATATCCCATTCAGAACATTCCTGACATTTTTTTTTCAGATAGTGTTTAATCAGACCCACCACCTAAAGAGGATATACTGTTAATCTCTCAGACATGACTGAGAAAAACTACCAACAGGGCACAGCTTAGTCTTGCTAAAATATCTGTTTCCAAAGAGCTATCAAACAGAAAAATCAAGCTTCTATTCCTGCTAGTGTGAAACCCCAATGCTTTTAGGATCTGTTCTCTAACAACATCATTAACAGATTCACTGCTCCAATTGCAGAGTTTTAATTAACTAGGCAGGAGGTAGAAAAAAAACACATCATGACTTCTTAAACCAAATTTATAAAGCTGATAAACTAAAAGAAAAAAAATCGCAAGCTGATGAAATCCAATATGAAAATGCCGAGATCAACTGCATATATAGAGCCTAAAGCTGATTGCCTGGTAGGATCATCTTCAGAAAACTGCCACTCTTTCAGAACAAGAACGTCAGCTAAGTAAAACAATCCAGATCCACTAATTTCAGAAAATCTTTGGTGATTTACGCTTGGGTCTTCAGTGTTTACTCCTTGTATTAGCTTACCCCATTCTCCCATACGCCTTGCTGTACTTGGGATCTATTGCTATGGCTCTCTCACAGTCCTTTATTGCTTCGCTGTAGTTGTTGAGCTTACTTTGTGCAGCAGCCCTAAGAGGAAGACAGGAGGGAAGGGAGAGAGCTTTGTCAAAAAGCCCCAAACAAACAATAGAAGAAAAAAAAAAACAAGCTTAAATATTCACATGTCTGTGACTAACTTCAGACTTGTTTCATCTTACTGACTTCTCATTCACTCTTTAGTCAATGCCTCAGCTTTCCTCAATTAAGTAGGACAAGAAAATGTTCTGAATTAAGTATGTGCTTAAGCGCAATGCTATATGCTAGGGCTTTGGAGAACACACTCTCACCTTTGAGGGCACAAAGGATAAATAACTCTAGGGAAAAGTTTTATATCTCCTGTATTACTATGCACAAAATACATCATAAAACCTATTATAAGAAGTGAAATTCTCAAGTAGTAGTTTACATAAAATCATTGATTAAGCACAAGTATTTTATACAATTGGCGTTTTCCAACAAGAAGTATAGTTTTACTGCCATTCAAAGGAACGCTGTGATTTTTCCCCGCTCAGTTTTTTAGCAGGCAACTTATGCTTGCAGGTAAATTGGGATAACATTTCTCAGTAATCTCCAAATTGCTGAATTACAATTGCATCTCTACAACAGAGAAGTACTAAATGTTGTGGACATTGACACGGTAAGATTAAAGACATGCCCAAATTAAAAAGAACATCGGAACAGATTAATAATCAAAATTTCTCCAGTTCAAAAGGTCTCAAAACAGTAATTTGTTTTTCCTTGATTAAAAAACTATAGTAGAAATGATAATATTTCCACTGCATAAAGCATTCTTCTTTTTTATTAGGATGCTACAATCATCTCTATATTCAGTCCTTTCTCCTGTGATTCAGGAGACCTCAAGATTCATTTTGGTCCTCACAAATGTGGTATGTGATGATATAACACACAGAGTGAAGTATTTCTACTCTTGCCAATTACAGATTTGGTGCTTAAGCCCATTCTACTGAGGAGACTTTCAGTGATTCTGGGAGGGTTCTGAATCTGGTCTTGTATTTCCATTTTATACCTAAAATCACTTATATGATCAGTTTTCTCAAGGAAAATAGATGATTTACACTTTGAACTGCCATCTTACAAATGTAAAATATTAGTAAACTGTGCATTTCCTTTCTCTTTATGCTTGCCATGAAACGCTGAACCTTTCGCTTGTATTTATGGCAAAGTAAACTCTGGAATAATGGAAGCACAGCTAAAAAATAGAAAAATTCACTGGGTACAGTGCCACAAGGACAGACTGACACCACTTAATATATCCTTCTGGTAATGGAGGCACCAAAGAGTGTAGAGCAGAGTGGTTATAGAGTTCCAGTAGGGCTCATAGACTCTTCTGCCTTTGCTCCTATGCTGGTCTTTAGGGCAGGACACCAAAAGAGGATACTTCTGCTGCTGGGTTGACATGCACTTTCAAACTTCATCTGCTCCCGTGTCACTATGTCTTCACCATGGTGAAGAACAGATTATACAATGAAACTACAGCAACAGCCTTGTTATTTCTCAACAGGTTGTGCATAAAAATGCCGAGTATTTATACAATGCTTGAAATCTTCAAAATAGCCTTCCCACATTGATGGTATTTTTTCCAGAGGAAGTTAATGACAGCTGAGTCACCAGAACACCAGAAAAAAAGGCTCTTACTACTCTCAACAGACCAGTAATCACAGCCTACATTATGATTTAATATAGACAACCTATCTCACAAAAACCTATTATCAAGTGCTACAAGTAATTTTAAAGCCTATATTATACCTTTAACTGACAGAGATATGCTTAATAAGCCTATTTTCACTTTAGATCTTTTACAAATTTAACATGATAAATTTCTGGATAGTGGGGTTTTCTAGCCTCATGTTGTTTTGATCTAATTCACAATTTATTTTTAAAATACTGTTAATGAAGTTCAGGAAGGAAAAGTGTGTATTATTTTGTTTTTACCTGTTGCAGTAATAGACTGCATTGTTTGGATCCAGTTTTATAGCCCTGGTATAACAATCCACTGCAGCACCATAGTTTTCTTCTTTCATATGATTATTACCTGAAATAAATCATAAAGAGCTCTTAAGTAGTTAAAAGATACACTGCTACGTATGAAAGAAATAGAGCAGGCACATTATAGCATCTATATAGGGTAGTTATCACAGAATGGTAGAGGTTGGAAGGGACCTTTGGAGACAATCTAGTCCAACCCCCTGCCAAAGCAGGTTCACCCAGAGCAGTCTGGACAGGAGCGCATCCAGGCAGGTTTTGAGTATCTCCAGAGAAGGAGACTCCATAACCTTCCTGGGCAGCCTGTTCCAGTGCTCTGCACTTTTCTGAGATAAATTCATTTAAATAGAACTGGCATGCAATAACGCAAATAAAAATATCTACTATGTCAGTAAAGTTTATTACGTGCATTGTACATTGTAGACTACCACATAAACCTTCCCAATCTCAACTTGCTATTTCACACTTTCAAGCTACGTTCTGCTGTTAAGCAAAGATCGATTTGTTGAGAAGTGTAAATTTAATTGCAGTTCCACTCTAATATAGATTAATCAGTCTTAACTATTTTTGTAAGTCTCATAATCCTATAGGCTAGATGTTGATCCCTTTTTGGTCTTACTTTCTCACATCCCAACAACTTGCTTGTAACTATTAATGTAACATTGAAAAGCAAAAAGCCAGACTAAGCACTTAAGCCTCACTTCTGTGATTCCATTCATAAGGATAATGAAAAGTATGTATAGCACAGGCAATCTAAAATGATTCAGAAGTAAAATTTCTCACCAAGAAGTCTCAGAACTTCTACTCTATAATGAAGTTTCATATTTCATATTTTCTAAGTCCAGTGATAAAACTAGAAAAATACAACTTTTCTATGAAAAGAAAATGCTGGAGTAAGGTCTTTCAAAACAAAAGGTACCTTACACATCCTTCCCTCCCTAACACAGAGCAGTCCTGTTACTTTCCTTCTTTCCTCATGACAGAGTAGTAGAGAAAAAGTACTAGTTCACAGTGGCCAAGGCTAAGGTTGTCCCTGGTCCTGCAAGTATGGATCTTTGGCCAGCTAGGTCCTACAGAAGCCTTGGCTTCCCAGCAATGTCACGAAATTGTCAGGAAAATTATAGACCTCCTTGTATTTTGGCAAAATTTTTCAACCCTCTCCCAAAATAAGCAAGAGAAGGGATTGGTCAACAGATTACTACAGACATAGATAACTCCATAAGCAAAGGCTGGAAAAGTTTAGTCACTGCAAATTTTGTCTGATAGAAAACAAAAGACTGTGAGGCACTAACTGAAAACAACTACACTAGCATTTATTTGTGAGCATAAAGAGCTTAATAAACAAAACTAGATTTAAGTAACTATCATCAAGGTAGTACAAAATCACCTATTCTCAATAGTAACTAAACTAATTATAGTCAGCAATCCCTGGCAGTGAGAAGGCAAACTGAAACTGTAATTACATGTACAGCTTCACACAGAATGTTAACCATATCTGTCACATTTCTAGACATCTTTCCTTTGATCTAAGGAGGTCTGTACACTAATTCCTGTTGTCACATAAAAGACTTGCAAGTTAGCTGCACTCAACGAGATTGCAGCAATTAACATTTCTCTAAAACAAAACAGTCATCAGGGATTATCAAAGTTCTGATTTTCTGATGCTGCTCTGAACTAAAGATGACCTACAAGATGGCTACAAGGCCAAGTTGGAGCTAATTATGACTGGGTACATTTCTTCCTCTGTCTCTCTCCAGCTCAAAATTCGCTAAAGGAAAACAGAAAAATAGCTAGACCTACTATTTCTGCTGAGATTAAGCAATTCAGGACAAAAGGAACAGCAACTGTAATATTTTATTTTAATGGCAGACAAAAATACCCCACAGATGGTTATACTTTTGAATGTGTGTCCTCTATAATGAAAATACTACTTATTGTTATAATTTATACTGTGGTAAAACCCAGATCTTTTTAGGATCAAGCCACTGCTAGACTACACAAACCTGCACATAATCTGTTCTCTTACATAGCTTAAGTTATGCCAAAGTGTCAAGCGATATGCAAGGATAAGCAAGCAAATTCAAGCATTTGCTAGTCTGGAGGGTGTATTACTTCCTAGCTTTATAACAACCAAGAAAGAAAACTCAGCTATCTGACAATGTTTTGCCATTCATTAGCCAACTTCTGCAAGTACTAGGGCTGGTTTGAGAGCAGAGGAGGAGTAGGCTGGAGGCCACAAAGTTGAGGGAAGTTATTCCTTTGGTAAGGACATATAGATAGAAATGAGGAAATGACAGAGTTACAGAACTCCAGTATTATAGAAGATATGGGCCAAATGGACTTCCCCAAGTTATCTCATTTATGTACCTAACTCAGGGTAGAATACTAGAAAAGCATAATAGCGGTGATAGATAATAGCTGTGTGAAAATGAGAAGGATTAATATGACAAAGCAGCATTAGAAAACAGGACAGGAAGCTTTAATTTTATTATGGGATATTAGCCAGAGGCATTTCAAGCAATTCCAAACTTCTTACTAATGCCCCTGCTAGCTGACACTTTAAACGGCCCTTTGTGGAAGTTTAGACCCTTTCAGTTTTTTCAGTAGAGACACGGAATTGCTTTACTAACACCACACAAAGACTAATACATAGCACACATCCATTTCGTTTCCTCAGTCTATTTCACAAACCTCCGTGGGCTGAGAGGTGACAAGACAGAAGTCGCAGATTTAAAACAGGCATTGCTGTAACACCCACACCTTGAAAGTGCTGAACATCCCTACAGCCCAATAACCATACTGAGTGCTACAGGAATTCTTCTTTCCTGGCAGCAACAGACCGCAAAATGAAAAACCAGGATGCACAGCAGGTGTGTTACAACTTATGAACTAATCGTCACTTGTAACCTAACCTTGTTTGAGATCTTATTCTCAGAATTAATGAGCTGATGAGTAACTTCAACCATTAGGGAAACTTATTTCACGGTCAGTAATGGACTGCATTACTGCAGATGACCAGTTTTAAGGTAAGACAGACTTATTGTCCTGTCACTATCCTAAGTTTTTTGAGAGAATTACATGTAGCAATTAGAAACTTACTTATTTTTTCTACAAAACTCAAATATCTGAAAATTGGATATGTTGTAAAAACTGTGATTTATAAAGCATCAATCCACCTGATAACAATTCATATCAGTTATCAGTGCTACATGCCATTTTTTTTCTCCCCCTGCTTTTTAGGGGGCCAATAAAACAGATCCCTTTGTGAGTAACATTAGGAAAGACTTCTATGGTACAGCTGCTTTTCCTCACATAACAGCAACAACATGTATCAAAGGGAAAATAAACAACCATCTCTTCTGCAATTTTTATAGAGCACAAAAATTACATAAGTGAAATACTAACCCTAGTAAGTTCAAAAGAATTTTTCCATTGGCTTCAGCTAGGTCAACTTTTTACCAGTATTTCAATATTCAGCTAGCGCACAAGCCTTGACATCGCATAACCTTTTCAATATTAAGTAGAATGCTGAATAACAATTCCATGGAAAAACAGAGAAATCTATAATACACCAAACAACAACTTCTCATTCTTTATAGCTTCTACTACTCAGGAACGTTGCCCAGGACTTGTTATCTCTTAGTTTTTAAGCAACATCCTGAGAAAAGGAGTTAATAGGCTGTATTTTCTTAAACCCCAGATGGAATAAATCACTTTGTTACATTTTAAGAGAGCTATCACCAGAGAATATAAGCTTTTGTACAGGGTGTGCATTGCCCAGCTGCTATACTATCACTATCCATGATAGCCCAAAAATCTTAATAAAAGCACAAGAACACAAGATGTTTATTCCTATGTTTATTACAAACCTTCATCCTTCAGTTGGTCAGCCTTTTCAACATCCTCTGGTAAAGTATCTGAGAGAGGCAGCACGTCATTCTGTGCGTAAACAAACCAAAATATTTTTCGTTATAATACAAGCCCTGATTTTATTAAGAACTTCTTTAATCCCGGGCAGCACTGTATCAATAAGCAGGATTTCCTGTAGTGCACAGGAAGTATGAAAGAACTAAGCATCACTAAAACATCCTTAGGAGAGAAAGACAGCCTGCTTTCTACAACTCAAAAAACCCTATGGATGACCACACATTTTAAGGAACCAAGGGGTAGAGAGCCGATATGTTTCTAGTCTTGGTTTTCTTACTTTTGACTCCTATTTGCCATCCTGGGGATTCCTGTGCTTCCTGTACTGAGGATCCCAGACAACACAAATAATTAGAAAAGATTTTTGGAGTTCCCATTTTAAGGTTAGTGTTCACAGAGATGTCTTTAAAACTGAACAACAAAATTATTTCCAGAACCATCAGCAAACCATGAATTACCTCAAGCAGACATTTATCTCCCGGAATTGCAAAATGCTTAACTAAAATCCTTCAAGTGAAAATGAGACATGCAGTATTCAGTAATTTTCTATATGGAATTGTCCTAGTTGAGCTGAAATTAATTCCTCCCACCGCCCCAAAATACTCTCATTCTCCTAGCTTTCATGGAAATTTCACTTTTCTCAGGTTTTCCTTAAGTTTCCACATTGTTTTGACCTATACAACACTTTAAGGTTGTGTACACAATATTAAATTTTAGCACATATTGGCAGAGTAACTTTAGAATCTAAATGAAATTCTTACCTTGTGAAAAGAATTTGTGAACATTTCTATCAAATGCTGTGGAGGTGCAAGATGAGTATCTTCCAGATTAATCTTAAACACAGTCTCCAGACACTGAATTGCAACTTACAAGAAAAAAAAAAAAAATACGTCACCAATTTCTCAATAGAAGTATAATTTCACTTATTGTTTATAAAGCTGTGATTTATCTCCCTGTTCAGCTAGTCAAAGCAGCTCTTTGGAACATAGCACAAAATAAAGAGAGAACACCTGCTTCCCATAGAATTGACTTGGTAAAAAATAGTATAAGCTGTACAAATCCATACATAGTTTGGTTATTATTAATAAACCAATATAAAACTTCTTTTCAATCATTAAGTCTTTTCTTAAAACATAAAAATATGAGGATTTAATAAAATTACCACAATTCATAACACAACTACACGTCACACACCCCAGCTCAAAACACCACAAATGCCATACATTTGTGTGGCATAATAGTTGGAAGAAAATGGCACGTCTTCACTGTAAAAAAATACTGCAAGATACTTACTACACTTATCTTTTTTTGGATCAAAATATATCTATCTGAAGACACTGTTTATTAATGAAATGCTTCATTAATCACAAGTCTTTATCCTATTAAAAAAAAATACAACTGTAGTATCCTTTCATGTGTTCAGTTGTGTAAGCATTAAATGGCCCTCCCAAACCTGCAATAATGCAAATATACTCACAATAAGCAATACTAAAAAACAGTAGAGCCAAATACCTAAATGAAGTCTTAAATGTGCTCATATATTTTAAGGCAAAAGAAGTCAATGGCAACTATTATATACAATTTTGTATATATATGTATTCTGTTCATTATATTATCTCAAATTATATCGTTATTTTCCCTATTCTCTTGAGAAGCTAGTAGAATGTTTTTATCAAGGAATAAATGTATTAAGCTGAAAACTGAGGAGGAACAAAGAAAAGCCTTTCTAAAGCCTGGTTTGAACAGAAAAATTACTTTTTTAACTCCAACTATAGATAAACAGGAATAGCTGAATTCAAATGAAGTATCAGTAAAAACTGAATCTTAAAATTTAAATTCAATTTCAGCCCAATGTTAATATAATAAATATAATTTGAATTCCTGTTTGCATTATAATGAACCTGAACACTGACCCAAAATTAGAGCAGTAAAATTTCTGATAGTTAACAATAGTTAAGGCCAGTTTGAGGAGCCTATTTTCTATGTCACAGCTGGGAGAAAGGAGGGAAAAAGGAGACTTGTAAAATAATTAGCAAAACCTGGAAGATACATTTTTTTTTAAACTCTGATAACATAGAATAGAAATTATTCAGAAAAAGCCAAATACAATACAAAATTAATGTTGATAACATGTAACAATTGAATACATTGCTAAATATGCAGGAAGTTTGCTTTTATAAGGTATGAATGCTAAAAATGTATCAATTTGCCAGGTTTTAAATTACCCCGTAAGAGTGCTGAAGGATTTGGGTTAAACTCCTTTGTCTCTTGCTATGTGGAAAAACTTAATTCTTGTAAAGTAAGCACTGACTATGCTGAATTCTGAATTATATATTAATAGTCCTTATTACCAGGCCTATCATAAAATCAGTGGAATTACATATCTCATTGTTCCTTATCACTTAATAGGAAGCCACCTGCCACAGGATACTTACCAGCTTTCCCCTCAAACTTCTGCATAAATTTAAAATACAACCCCCTCCTTCATCTTTCTCAAGGCTTTCAGTCAGTGACACCAACTCTGTACCATACAGAAGACCTTCGCAAAGTGTAGAAGTGCAAATTATGCTTAAACAAAATAAGCCTGAGTATAGTGTTATTGCCAGTACACATTTCCATGAAATAATCAGTTGTTACAGTGAACTCTCACATTTCTCCTCTAACTGAAAAATGGAATGTAAAATCCTTATGAACTGTCACAGGTGTAAGAAAATTAGAAGCTCTTATGGGATGAATCCATAGGTTAAACTAATAACCAGTAGTTAACATGCAAGCCAAGAATAGCAAAATCAGAAACTTTTCCAAATCAAAAGATGCATTACGTTGACAAGATCAAGACAAGATCAGTAACTACCCTGTTCCAATGTGACATAAAATGCAACTTTGCAGAGTCAAAGATGTCAAGACATGGTTTTGTCAGAGCAGTATCTTGTCAGAGAGTGTCAGCCTAGGCAGCTGCTGGAGCTTGTGGTGACCACCCTGCAAACCCCTACAGATACCACCCTCCCTGCTGAACAGCTGGGGCTCCCGCAAACACCTACCACCTGGGAGGAGGAGCTCGTGGGCTATGCTGGAGTCCATCTCAGCATCCCACTGCCACCTGCCTCCAGGACTTCTTGCTGTCCCAGCACAAGCTGCAAGCAACAGCGAGGAACCACAGCGGACATGCAGGATCACTGCATAATGAATACTAATTGGCCTGCTGAGGCCCCATTAGTACTTGGCATCACCTTGCTTCATCTTACACATAACCTTCCCCATCTCAAGTGTTACATAGATCCTGCACCTAAATTTCACTGTTTTGGAAACGCCGCCTTAGAGAAATTCATGGCAGTACGCCGACCTTAGAAGGAAAAAGAAAAATTTTAAAAAAATCACAGCCTTGTGCCCACTGTAGAGTTTATGCTTTAATCCTACGGAAACTGGTGCTGTAGACAAGAAAAAAAATACAGAAACTGTAAACAGGAAAGAGAAATAACTACCATTTAAACACACTGTCTAAAATATAACTTGGAGAAGTGAAGTTTCTAGTTCATACAATAGGGTTGAGCATTAACTCCCAAAAAAATCATCTATATCACTGCTCTAGATCTTGGGTTGTAGGGGAGTACATTTCTCCAGTCTACCTTCCGATTACTCCGCTTTCTCAAATTAAGGTATTTTTATTTGTCGTGGTTTGGGCTGGGGACTAAATGAATGACAGATGCTCTCTTTAACCTCTCTCCCCTCAGAGAAAGGAAGGCTTTTCCCCATGTACCATTCAACCCCTCTACACTCTTCCGCTTCTGATCCTCCAACAGGGCAAATAAAGTGAGCTGACCTTGGTTGTTATAGCAATAAATGCAGGACCCTCTCTGCATTTATTGGTATTAACTACACTCCTTGGTATTAACTACAAACATCAGGCCTTATCACTGCCAGAAGCCGACCTTGTCCGAAAAACATGGTGTTAATTTCGGTCAGTTAGAAGAGGCTTAACTGAAAAGTAAAATTAATGAAAATAAAATTGGTTCTAATCTTCCTTAAACCAGGACATTACTCATCATGCTAGTACAAAATTCCTAGAGGAAATTACACTATCATTGACATCGCTATGTGATTCAAACCTGCAGAATGCAGGTTATCAATATAAGTGGTGTTTTATTTTAATGCATCCTAAACTTCTATTTTGATGAAGTCTCAATTTTATTTGTAATGTTCTTGCTCTTTTTGTTGTTTTGGGGGGAATGGGAACTGTTTAAATTACTTCTTGGCACAGGCACTTCATCATAGAGTGTTCTATGTTTTCATAGATGCTAAGTAGGTACATAAGGTACCAATGAAAAATATCAGTCAATTTTTTTCATCCCTTGTGTCTTCACCTAACATTAAACACTTCAATGGGTAGGACTTTTGCTATTGCTACTCCATATGCACTAAAGATACTTTGCACAACTAAAATGAGTCAATTACTCAGAACGTCCGCCTCCTATCCTCTAACACATAGCATATGGTACCATGCTTTTGGCAGGGAGCAGCTCTAAAATTAGGATTTCATATCTGTATTAAAATGGTAAATTTTACATCAGCATTTAAGCACAAGTGAGGTTTTATAATACTTTTTGTTCAGAAAACAGAATCTTAAAATTGCTGATTCCTTCATAAAGACATTGGTTACAGTTGCTCTAAGACATGTTATCAGGTACATTTGCGGTCAAAAATGCAGTTTTATTACAAAAGCAAAAGCATCTCTCATTATACAATTTCCAAAAACATTGCTTTCTTTCATGAACTGAACCTTATCATAACCTGCTACAGGTTAAATTCAAAGATGACTACTACTTTACAAATGTACATATTATGACATAACACAAAGTCTTTTGGCTTTTATTCTTTGGGTTATTCTTTGGATATATTTGGATATATATTTGGATATTCTTTGAATATCATGATAGAAATTAGTGAAAAACTACACTGTAAAACCAATAGACACTGGAAGGAAGCGGACTCCAGGTTTACATTTTTAAGTTCATGCCTCTGAGAAGCAGGACTTGCTTTGCACCTCAGCAAAGTCTGCTCTTCATACCTCAGATTTCAGGTAACCCAGTGATCAGCTGCCTGGATGTTGTTTATTGGGCTGCTGGTCCTCAGCCCCCCCCCCCCTTTTACCTCCAAATTCCTCCTCTGGCTGAGTCATACAACCAAAGTCTGCTTGAAATAGTGCAAAGGTATTTTAAATAGACGCTATGAAAAGCTCATTGCAGAATTGAGATTTTTTGATCTTTTGCTTAATTCCACGTTGTGACACCCCCTCCCATGAAGTCTCCAGGAATTAGGGAAAAGGAGTAAGAGCAGCCTGAAGGAGAAAGACAGGTACTATAAAGTTACTAAGACTTAATGAACATCTGTCAAGGGAGGAACACACACAGAAGTCCAGCCTTCTGTAGCTACTTCTACAGATGAACTTGAATGTATAATAGAAACTATACCATACTGAAAACATTCACTACCATGTGCTATTTGGAATAGCTATTCAAGTTAAATTTTTTAAAAATGCAAGTCATTCATTTTATTTTCAATATTCTTGGGATCTCTTAGCCTTCCCTCATAAATTACATCCAATTTCTTACAAATATGAAACAGGAGATTTTCCCCATATACCAAACCCAATATAAGCTAATTGACTTACTTCCTCTGTGGCCAGCACAACTACTAGCAGACACAAAATGCACAAAGTGACCAAACGTGAAAGTAAAGAGAAAAAGAACCAGCAGGTAAAAGGCTGTGGGACACATACAGAAATCTCTACCATAGTCTGCATTACGGCAATGCTTAATTTGATGTGATTGAAAGTATCTGTTGCTCAAAATTAAGGTAGTACACATTTTGTAACTTTAGAACATTTTTTATATGAGAGATCTCAGAAATATTAAGATTGTGATCTTATTCACAGGCAGTATTTGGTGGCAGTTTCAGTTAGGTCACTCCAGTTACCTTCTATGATAATATACATCAAGCAATTTAACACATGGGTAGGTATTTTACATACATATATTAGCACTTTGCTCACCTTCCAAGCTTTCTTGTTCATCTGGAGTGAAAGTATCCATCTGACTCTGCTCTCTCAAGAAATGGATGACTGCATAAACCAAGCGTTTGATGGATGACATTTTGAAATCGACGAGTTTCTCCTGCGTCTTAAAAAACAACAGGATCTCTTAATTCAGAAATATTAATTCCTAAAGCATCCAACTTCCCACTGGCCTCAGTATGAAGTACACACAATACACAAAAACTCTTCCTTCACCCAAAAGCCCAATGAAGAGATGCCTTGAAACAAGTGGTTAAATTGTATGGTTTAGGGAGAACTCATACAATCTAGTCTAACTATCAGCAAAAGAGGACAAATGTCTCCAGATTCATTCCTGCAGGAGTGTTCACCAAGGCTAAAATAATTCAGCAACTTATTTTAATTTTTTTTCTTTTTATAGTTTGGAATTTATTTCTGAGACATGTGCACTTAGAAGCAAGAGTGCATGCTGAAGTCAGAATCCATTTAAAAGCCCCATTGATAAACGTAACGGCACAAAGAAACACACCTTAATGAAATGAATCCTATATTCTCTGACATTGGTGCTGCTGAACGGTTTATGTTCGCTTTGGACAGGAAACTAGAACACTGTGACCCGAGTGCACGCCTGTGATTAGTGACACTGCTGGCTCAGTCCGATTCGCATTTGGCACCAGCGGGGAGTTACGTAACTTTAGGGAAAAATTTTAGCCCCAACTTTCTGAGTTATTTTCCCTTAAAACACTGTTAAAGGGCACAACCTCACCCAGCCGCCGGGGGAAGCAGGTTAGAAATAAAAACAAACAAACAAACAAACAAAAAAAAAGAAACAAGCAAAAAAAACCAAACCGAGCATTAAATGAATGGCACGACCAGGGCCAGCCTGATTCTCTCTGATTCTGCCCGATTCTCTCCGCACAGCCCGGCGCGGCCGAACCCGCGGGGGCCGGGGGAAAGGCGGCTCCTCACCGCCGGGGGGACCACAGCGGCGGCGCCCACCCTATCGGGACTCCCCCGGAGGAAGAGGCCGCCGACCCGACCCACCGGAGGCTCCCGCTGGCCGGGGGCGTGCCCCCACGGCCACAACCGGGGGCCGCCAGCCCTGTCCCCCCGCCCACCCCCCGGTGCCCCGGCAGGCCCGGGGCCGCTGGCTGAGGCCCGGAGGACAAGTCTACCCCGCACAAGCGGGGCGCCCCACCGCCCGCGG